TCGGAATTATTGACGCCTTAAGTTTGAAGTAACGTCTAAAAACGACTTGGCAAATTCTAAACAACGCGTGCAAAGTCGAAAACAAGTATACTATTAGACTAATTGATTAGCTAGATAAAAAGTAATCGTGATAATGCGTTACGTGTATGTAAACTCCCCAAATTTTTAAATATCTAATATCCGTATTAAGGTTATCAGTAAGAGATCGCCGATTGTTACGCCTATATATTTGTAAGTAACTTATGTGTTAACTATATAAAATAAAGATATAAATAAATAAAAATAATATATATATCTTTTTTTATATAATTGATGTGGAGAATTCTAAATCTACATAATTGACTATAATATAATTACATTAAGATTTCTCCTCATAAAACCAGCGTGATCTTGCACTTGTATCGCTAATAAAGTTACGGCTCGCTACCGGTGTTCCAGATTCCTGATATCAGCTACATTGAACTGTTACATCGTTTTGAATATTTATCGATTCCTAAAATCGGTTTACTTTTCATCAATATGCATATGCAGTTAGAGTTACAAATTGCAATAATCGATTTGAACTGTTTATGATTCGATTCTGTTTATTTGATTATTGATTTCTAAACAATGCAGTACACTTTGTCAATTTTTTATTGACAAGTCACTTAAAATTTTGGTTGAAAATTGCTACGGCGTGGCCTCTAGGGTTGTAGTTTCATAATTTCTTAATGCTGTTGTAAGCTAAGGAGCAAGTGATTCTATGCAGTTTTGACATATTTTTAAAGGTAGTCACGCAGTGAACATAACATTCTGTAGTACGTTTTATATCCATAATACCACTGAATTGCATTTTCTGGTGTTAATTCGTTCGTTCATTACTCGTTTATCACGCAGATGTACAATTTTAATTTGAGTTAAGGGTAAGCATTATTGCTAAAGACATAAAAGTCATTTATGGGGATCGAATGCAGAACACTTAGCAAAGTAGGAAGCGGCGAGGTGACCGCTTATATTACTACGCCATCCGTGCAGTCGTTTGGAATCCAGGAATTATATAAGTTAAATCACCTGCATATAAGATTGCAACTCTTCTAGGTTCTAATAATAAATATGTAAACAAATATATCGCTGACATCAGATCCAGTTCACCGCGTATTTGCATTTTGTTTTATAAAAGTGGTCGTGCGACCTCTGTGGAGGTCCTCGTCTGAGGACATCGTCCCCACAATGTTTAGGTCGTGTAGCAAGCCTGTACTTGCATCAGACATGTTTCATAACGTCTGTGTGTAGTATCGAGGACTTATATTGTGGATGTAAAGGATTAACTCGGATGAAAATTATTTAAAGTACATTAGGATGACAGTTTGCTTTAAGTAAATAGTTTTTATAAGCATTATTTGCATGACACAGATAGATTCAAAAGAAAAATAATAATATATTTGTGTTTTTGTTTTCCTGAGTTTGATCAAACGAAGTTGCGATGAACAGAAAAATCTATGCACAGAGGATCTTTTAATTGGTAATTACTTTGCTTAAACTTAGTTCAGCCTAAGATTGCATTCGAATTTGTGTCGAAATAGATTTTACTAAAATAGAATATTTGAAATGAGACTTAATGAGACTTTTGAGACTAAATCGTGTGGCTTTCCTAGGTTTGTTTTTGAATTGGAGATATTTTAAGATTTTAATTTACACTTGATAGCAATATTTATATTTTGATCCATTCCTTTGTTTCTACTGTCATATCATATCATATCGACAGTCTTTAATAGTCCACTGATTGTTATTCCGACTAGCATTCGTTTGTATCAAATAGTTTGTATCAGTACTTTTTTGCGAAGTTTCAATTACTTTCTAAAGAAAGTGAGAGTTTTGGCTTTCAAAGATTTGATAATATTTAATATCACGCTGTCGTTACTTACTTTATAATGACCATAGATCAGTAAGATAATTCTGAACCAAGAGATTATGTACATATGTATTATATATCTATATGTACATACATATAGGTCCTTGAAAATGTGACATTAGCTTTAAATACTTATAGTACCTGTCTTTGGCACATAAAACCCGTCACGAAAAGAGGTTATATATTCAAGAACATCTTATTCATAAATAACTAACACATATGTAATATGTGTGAGCATATTTCATTGTGACAAATCAAACATCGCAACGCGTTGCTCGGATTTTAATGGCTTTTTGTGTGTCAAGATTTTTGTCGTGATCTCACACGCGCCAGATTAAAGTCATTCAGATGATAATTGTCGCAAATGCCTGAATGTAACATAGTAAGGAGGAAATTTATATGTTTTAAAGATCGCCTGGCGTTTTGAATTACTGGTTTTAATTCATTTAACTAAACAGTATAACTTGAAGTGTCATTACATTGTTTTTTTTTTATACAAGACATCTTCCGCGTTAGGAATATAACCTACGTCGCGGGGGATTTGACAAACATATATGAAACGGACACAACGAACACCAAGACTCAGAACAACAATTTGTAGATCACACAAAGTGTCGTCCCATATGGGGATCGAACCCACAACACTCAGCGTACTAGGAAACGGGGTGGCGACCGCATAAACCACTACGCCATCCTTGCAATCAAAGAATATTTAGAAATATTTAAGCATGTTCATCAGCAGTCTGGTTACCACACAGGCTCTGCCTAATTTGGAATTAGACGGCCGTTTGTGAGATGTCTCAAGTTATTATTGTACGTATGTATATATGTAGTGCTGCCGACACATTTGTCCTACTTGAAGACGAGGCATTCAAGGATTAGATCGACATAGCGTAGAATTTAATGGACGGCTTCAAGGACGCATTCACCCAGGTCCAATTACATATGTATATTAGGGATTGTTTTAATAACCGTTTTTAAACAATAATTCATTAACATGGTGATACTTTTTATTTGTTTGATTAGTATTAATCAAACTTTATAAGTATACCTACATATATAATTCAGGTATAAACATAACTGTTCAGTAACTTTTCCTAATCTATTTGTTAGTAAATTTCCTAATTTTTGTTAATACCTAGGTATTATGTGTGATAAAAATTAGAAGTTTTTTTAATAAAATGTCACGGATATTAGTCGCATTTCGGCCAGGACACTAATAAATATGAAGACTTTATGTTTGATCTTCGAAGTCATTTTCATAATTTAGTACAAATTCTAATTGATTCTTTGCATATCAAATATATTCTTTTTTTGAGAATTCATTGAGTAACTTTATTGTGAACAACAAAATGTCGTCGATATAATAAATAACAGTTCGTTCATGCAAAAAGATTTGTATCTGTAGCAAAGGCATCAATGGCATTCCGCTTCGGTGAGCGCCATATTGTTTGTGTTTTTATTTCGCGCCAACGTCTTTAACTGGCCGTCTACTGTCTCTTATTTAGGGTTGTACGCACGGATTCCAAAAATTTCTTCTCTTTTAATTGTAAGCTATAATTAATTTATTGATAAACCTCGTCTCCTGTAAGATGGTTCCTGGTCGGACGATACAACTGTGTATTCATCCAAGAATGTAAGGTATCGTACTGATCGTTGAATACTTTATTTTATTTTCTTCTCTCATATCAAAAAGTCCTACAAGGATCGGTCAAACACTATCTAAAGTCATTATTAATGGACTGTATTTCAAAATACTAGTTAGTGGCTGTCAGATCCGGTGGCTAAAATATAACCTTCTAAAACATATAATAGATAGGGCCGTGATTACACCATGAAATCGTGACGATAGTCAATCGAAACGACCTTCAATACAAGCACCTACTTTCAGAGAGCTTAGAACACACGGAAAAATTACGTCTAATTCAACATCTTTAAATACGTAAAATTATCGTAAGCTTTTAATAGGTATCACATCAATAGCCTTTAATAGTCCAATGCTGGACATAAGCCTATCCTTAGAAAGGAGGTTTTGGCTTACTATACCACGGTGGACAGACGGGTTGGCATAGTTTTTGTCAAGTTTTCCTTCTCTCTGCAGAGCTGTTGTTCTGCGTAGTCTTAATAGGTATAACATACCTGAATTGCCTGGCGTTTCGAGATGGTTGCATTGGACGTGGCCACAGTTGGACTCTGTGTGAGTCCGTGAGTGCGTTAATTCCCGCTAGTTAGTGATAATTATATATCATGGAAAACGAAAATTTAAAAATTGTTTCAATGTTTTGATAGCCAATTTTTTACGTAACTCATATCTCTTATCCAGTATCCAGTAAAATGCTGCCTATAGTAGGTATTATATTATCTAATGTTGCCAAAAAAAATTGAACTAAGTATTTTTAAGTATGTTTGCGAGTAATCTCTCTTGGCTGTATCTATAACAGAGGTTTTCAATCTTTAGATCTCAATGTAACTTACTACCAGTTATGACATCACAGCTTGTCCAGCTAAATACAAACAATACATCAAAGACGTGAAAACCAAGTAATAATATTTTACTACACCTCCAGATGTTATCTGACTAGTCAGAAAATATCTATAGGTGTAGATATTTGATATCTTATATATAAAATTCTCGTGTCACAATGTTCGTTCCCGTACTCCTCCGAAACGGCTTGACCGAATCCCATGAAATTTTGTGTGCACATCGGGTAGGTCTCAGAATCGGCCAACATCTATTTTTCATACCCCTAAATGGTAAGGGTGACCAATCCCTATTTTTTTTTGTTTTGCAATACAACGTTTGTCAGGTCAGCTAGTTTTATATATTTTTGTAATTATGTAAATCTATGTAAGACTTGTTACGGCTGTAAGTTCCTACATAATTAATAAACAGAAACGAAGACGACATTTCTTCTCAACCTAAAGTTATTTTTGAATCAATCTCCAACAACAACAACATTTCCAAAGGTTACCGACAAAAGAATAAAGTTTTCATTTCGTACTTGATAATAAACAAATTGCTCGCAATCAAATATGTAATCTAAGCTCAAAATTTTTAAAAATACAGAATCAATACTAATGTCATATAGACAAACCTCTGCAACCAGCTTTACCGCGAATTTCCATCCAACTTTCCATACATGCTGTTATAGACTAAGTCAGAAAATAAACATAAATAGCTAAAACCGGACTCACAGTTGCTGTTAGCCCCTCCAAATCGACGGCGCGAGACAAACTTGCGAGTAGCAGGCAAGCGCTCACTACGCCGCGCGTCGCCATTCAAAGATGGCCGCTTTTCAATCTCGTTTTTCTCAACAATTTTCGGCAATTCTTTTCGTAGTTTGAATTTTGAGTTCCCGCGTCTTGTGTACTTGTTTGTTGTGGTATCTGTGATGTCTATGGGTGTCGTCTCCGCAGCCTCTGGTGAAGCTGTAGCTTTCGTGCGACGAAGGAAATTGCGCTTTACGGCCTGAGGACAAAAATAACGGTTAGTAAAACTATGTGTATTATACTACAGAAGACGTCTTTTCGAGGATGTAAAGTTTCTCTCTTAATGATTTATGTAAAAGGAATGCCGTTTTGTTAAAATAAAAATGTATAAACTTGCTGTTGAATTTTAAAGTCGTCAAAATACAATATTCTGCTAAATGTTTATCGTGAACTTTGAATTGCGCAATATCTAAACAAGTGAATGCACTAAAGAAAATTATCGATAAAGAATTATTAAGTAATTAAGAGGATTTAGGTAAAGGTAAGGAAAAATATAGATAACGAACATTTATGGAATCGTCCAAATTAAATAAACGATACGATAACGATTTATCGATAGTAGTTTTGAAAATCCAATAATTTGTTTCGTTTTTGCTAACTTATATTTAGCTACTAAAAACAATCACAGCAGTTTGTTTGCGGTTTTTATATTATTTTAAACGTAATGTTCCCATTCGTGGTTTCTTTTGCGGTCACAATTACTGAAGTGGAAAATATACAGCTCGAGTTATAACTCGGTACGTGAGAATTGTCTCATTAAAAACAAATAATATACACGGTTTTCTTGTGAAATAAATAGGTGTCTTTTCTTTGTAATGTGTGAATGAGGGAATTTAAACTTTGTACGAATGTGGCATAACAGCAATTAGAGTTTCTTAAATAAATAAGTTTCGCAGAAATATATGTTAGGTCTTATTAAAAAAAAAATATGTTGGCAAGAAATAAACTGTGGTCTAGCACAATGTTTTTATAAAGATGATAAATGTGTAACCCTGGAACTATTTTAAATGCTCGCTACAATTTATTGATTCTTTTGATGTATTATTTATTACTGAGCTAATAAGGTTATGAGAGGCGAAGTATTGTTTTTTAATTTACACATTTTAAAGCATTAAAATTCAGATTGAAGTCTAAGTTAAACCTCCTTTTTTAGATAGCAAAAAGATTTTTAATTTTAATTTTTTATAATGGTTACGATTTTTGAAAGAAGAGCGAGTATTGTTATATTCAATTATTTTTTGCTAGGAAGTATGTTAATGATTGTTTTTATCATACTTATATGTTAATAATAAAACGTATGTAATGGGCAAATGTAGCTTAAATATTTAGCCGCTTTTTACGTAATTTTTACATTTGGAACACATTTCCTTTAAATATGTTAGCTTTCTGCTTTATATATATAAATATTAAGTGTTCCAAATTTTATGTTTCTTCAGCCACGGAATTTTCTTAAAAATATATAAAATAATACGTACTTTTCATGTCTTAACCTACTTTCTAAGGAGAGGCATATGTCCAGCAGTGGACTGTTAAAGGTTGTTGATGATGATGATGTATTAACTAGCTTTTATGCGTAGCTTCTTTCAAATTCATTTTGATTTTTAACAAAAAAAACCTAATAAAGGGTACCCTATGTGCTATTCCAGATTACAATCTATCTCTGTGCCATATTTGATCCGTATCCGTTTAGCAGTTTAGGCGTAACACAAACATTCATATATATCCATCCTCATAATCTTTCGCATATATAATATTTATCGAATGTAAAGATATTAAGTTTTTCGTAACCGGGTAGTAATCTGAGTGAAAACGACTAAAGAACCTGTTATTCAAAGGTAGAAAAATTCTAAACTTGTATTCTGCTCATGTTATAATGATTACGTAAATATGAGAATTTAAATTTATGTTCGAATTCTTTTTTTTGTCGTTCATAATGTTACATTAGTCTATGGTTTATTAAAAAAAAAACATAGAATCTCATGTTTATAATTGTATATAATAAACTACCTTTTCCCGCAGCTCCATTCGCGTTTATATCGGTTATCGCGGTAAAAAATTAATGTAGCTTTCCATTGGTGAAATATTTTTTTAAATCGGTTAAGTGGTTTAGGCGTGAAAGCGTCACAACAAACAAACTCACGTTTATATTTACAATATAAGTATAGATATTTAATTATTATATAATATACGTTTTAGAATATTTAAACAGTATTTGGTATTCAAGAATTTAGTTCCCATTAATATTCGTGTATTTAATTATAATAATTAGAAATCGTCTGGAAGACAAATTTAGATTATTTTGAATATCTTGTTTCATTTCATTAAACAATATCATTTGTACTGTCACTAAGTAGACTTTTGTACTATCACTAAGTAGCCGTATTTATGTAATTTTTAACTGTTACTTTATGTTTAAAAACTTTAGCTTGCCGCACTTTTTTATTTAAACATGAAGTAATCAAAATAGTTTCTCCGTCCGCCATATTTGTTAAAAAAAAGTGTAAAGAATTTTGTTCTCCTATTAATAAGTCTAAAGATAATAGTTTCAAATTAATATTTTAATGGAAGTCTAAGATTCCTATCGTTTATGAAGATCGCTTTAAACTCTAAAAACAAAAGCATGTAGATACATTAACCACACTATTCATTCATAAAAGCTCCGTATATTGAAATGATTTTACATAAGGTGAAATCAATATTTTATTAGTCAATTTTTGCATAATTAGTTAAATAATTTTTCAATATGTACGTGACACGATCTGTTGGCGCGCAAATTGTGCGTGACGCGTATGAGTTCTTTGTGATAAGAATAGCGATCAGCGATTTTTTTTTAAATGGTCTCTTTAATCAAATTTTAAGGTTAAATTCACGGTATTTAAATTTTCTACGACAAACTTGTTTACTGAATTATTGAAACGTTATTAATTATATGCGGGTTATTATCGTCTGTCAAATTCACATAATCTGAATCTCGGAAACGGCTCCAACGATTTTCATGAAATTCAGTATGCAGGGGATTTCGGGGGCGATTAATCGATCTAGCCAGGTTTCATTTTTAGAAAATCTACCAAAAAAGTAATACTAAGCAAAGCTCGGTCATCCAGGTACTGTATGTTATCAGATATATCTGTTTTGGAATGCAATTTTCAAAATGAATAAACGTGTACTAATAAAACAAAATGAAACATGCACATAAGCTAGTAAACTGAAAGCAAACATGCGATGTAATAATACAATCCATTGATAATAATAAAATAAGAAAAAAAATGTGAAAACAAGCTCTTTTAATAATTTAAAAGGTATATGAGAATCAACAAAAAAGTTCTAATAACACTCATTTCGCTTTAACGGTGTTAGAGCAATTTGTTGCAAAATGTATGAAGGCATGTCCTGTCTCAATAAAAGATATCTTAATGCTTAATTACATCAGTGGACATAGGAAATATAAAAAAGAAATGTGTCGATAGCAAAATAAAAGTCAATCGTAAGATTAGCGTTGATAATAGAATGAGATATATATAATATATAAGCTAAGTGCTTCTAGACTGTACGTACAGTACACAGTAGTCTGATGCCGCAGCCATTATCGGCACCTAAAATCTTTATATCCTTCTTAGAAGTTTTAAAGGTAACTTTTGGAGTTTAGTAACACGAAATATTTTATGATATTTTCCGTATAATAATTTCCTTACTAATCATAGTTCGATGCGAGTATTAACGCCACTAATACAGCATTTAATATTGAAATGCCTATGTTCTAGAGGCTATAATATTTTAAGTAATACGTGCAGGTATTTATGTATTACTTGACTCATATACCACATTGTCTTAATTGTCAGCGACTCGCCTCACCTAACACGTATAATGACTCATGGTGTATACATGCAATATATTACGTAACACGGAATAAGAGCGTTGTGGTAATCTTATTTTGCAGGATAGTTAGCAGTACTAAGGATCGCTTGGTGGTCAAATCTTGACAGTATAGTTTAGTTTTGAATGTTTTAGTTTGTTTTACAGACTAGTAGTACTTCAACTATATACAAATTGGTCGCCTGCAGCTTTTTCTTGCCATTTTCACAAAATTAACAAAATAACAATATGATTAAAATATATTCATGGAACTAAAGTTCATTAAAAAAGCAGGCAATAGTTAAGTTTTGTCTATTTTCATAAAGACTAAGTTTATAGTTGTGCAGAGAAAATAACTAATGTATTTTTTTTTCGAATAACTGGACGTTAGGTTTCTTTTGATATTTAACTAACCAAAAAGCGAATGTATTTACATGACTTAAAATCCTCTCTTTACATTAATAAATCTACAAATTTATTACATAGTAGTTTACTCATTCTTTAAACTAAATAAAACTAAATTATACTTAGTTTATTTATGTACACTCATAAGAAGTATGACGGGATTAAATATAGAAATAATTTTAGTAGTAACATTTATCAGTACTAAATGTAAGTTATTAACAATATTACTAAAAAGTATTAAAATTATAAAAATATGACATTTAAAACGTTTTCTATCTTTTATAACTAAACGCAAAACTTTTTTTTAAATCGCTTCTCTTATGTAATACATCGTATACCTTATATCGTGACCAGTTCGTTAAATTAAAAACCTCTCAATATACGTAACAAAAGCAATAAAATACTTCGTAGTCAAATATTTTAACGAAATTAAAAACGAGATTTTTACGAATAAACTGCTCAAACCAGTTTTGTAGGGTTGTTTTAATAATTTTTTTAGGTAGCTTAAGATTTCCAAATTTGTGAGTAGTTTTTTTTTTTAATTATATCATTTGCTTACCCATATAATAACTTATATTACAAATCGAAATTCTTAGGTATTTTACCCACATTATCAGAAGAATAAAACTGTTTAGAAAATTATTTAAAGTGAAATGATTAGCACTAAAATTAGTTCTACTTAATTAAGATACCTAATAAAACACTAAATTGCAACGTAATACAAAATAAATATTACAGATAAAACTAGAAACATCGGTTAATTAATATTTGGAACCGGTAGGTTTTTTTTTATAAACAGAAAATGCGAAATTGTACTAAGCGAGCCTTGTATTTTCTTTACACATAAATATATATCTTTAAATTGAGTACCAGATCCTGATTCATACAATTTACTACAGCGGCTCAATTGAATTTTAAATGAGACTTCAAAATAAGAATTCTATTGGCAACCAAAGCTAGTAGCAATTACAAAACGATTTTATAATCTGTAGTGCGATCATCATTACTCGATCACCTTGAGCGTGTAGGCGATTATTACGATCACAGATTATAAAACATCCCACACTAGTCCACCTACATACATACCTTGTAGAAGGTTGTTTGTTTTTCGCATACCTACCATAACTTTTTAGGACAAGTATTAGTTTAAAAGTTTTCTGTCGGAATATGAATGATGTCTTTGCTTTTTATTAGCTTAACTTAGCTTTTCTTGACCATTATGTTTACTCAATTTGTCACATCAATATAAAAGCAATTGTTATGTTATGTACCTACTGGTTGGTAAAGTTTTAAAACAATACTAATATAGATCTGGTTATGTTAACTAGGTGTAGTATCAAACTATGACCTAATTACCTACTTCTCAGGCAGTTTATAAATATTTTACATTGTAAGGACGCCTGCATAACAGATTATTTTAAGTCTCTTGTATATAAATAATACAATTATAATATCAGTACCGGTTTGTTTGCTGAGCACCCACAGGCGCATTGTTTTAGGAACCTTTTGCTTAGATTAGTTTCTTCTCCATTTCTTTTTTATTGTATTGATGTGACACACATATATATTTTTTACACATTCACAATCACACACTTGAATGGTTTCGAGCTGATGCCACCCACACATATGACTTGCAGCTGAAAATCAGCTTTGGAAAGCACCAGTGGCCATCCAACAGTATGCTGAGCTGCAGACCTATTCGAACTTTTTGTAATGACTTTTGCATCGTCATCAACAGCCTTTAATAGTCCACAGCTGGACATAGGCATCTCCTTAGAAAGGAGGTTTTTTATGGCATGTGCCAATAAATTTTCTTTCTTTTTGAAGTAAGTTTTTAACAATATTTTTTTATTATGCGCACTATTTTGAAGAATAGGTATTGTCAAGTATTTAGGGTTTGAATACTTTGATTGAATATCTTATATATATTAACATTGAGCTTTAGAACGGACACGAAATATCAAAAAAACAATAAATATAACGCGTTCTTTTATTATTACTATTCATTATAAGCATTAATTGGTAGTTAATGGGTCCTAGTGCTGTTATTATTGATTAAGATTTTATGAACTATAGCTACGCTATAAAAAAAACAGGTATTATTATACTCATTATACTACTGTATATAAAAAAACAATCAGCTATAATTGACCTATAATTAAATTCATCCAATTTTAACACAACATTAACATCACGTCTTCACGACATACACAAGAAAAAAAAACACGGAAGCCATTTTGAATTTCATTTGATGGTATTTCTGACCTGATATTGCCTGTTGTTGTCTACATGTGGTATGTTCAATTCTGGGTGCCCTTGTACAACCGTAATAGGCATGAAGATTGTATGGATCATGGCAAACGAGATTCATAATTATATGAAGGTATTTCATATACTCAATGAAGTGGATATATGAAGGGTATCATACTCGTACATTGCAAAACAGTACCTATGTTTCCAACTTATTGTTGTTTTAAATAACCAGTTCATGTTTATTACACCTTGCAGTAAACAACATTTCGTAAGAGGACGATCAGGCAAAGGAATAACGTATTTATTTTGACAGATATCATTAATTTAAATTTCGAACAGGTAAATTTTGAATTTAAAATTGATCTCAAAAATATATAATTGATGATTTCGGTTAAACACAGTAACTTGTAGGAATTCAAGACAATTAGGTTTAAATGAACACAATTATAAATATTGCAAAATTTTAATTTATAAAATTTATTTTATATTTAACTTCTCGAATATTATTTCCGCAGTATATTCTTCAGAATTTGCTTTTGATCAAAAGTAACAAAGAACATTGTGTAAATATATATGCTAGTAACAATTTTGCCGCTTTTGGTGAATCAGGAAAAGTGCAGTTTATGGGGTCCCAGATGGCAAGTATGTCCACACTCGATGTCGTTCCTACATTGCAATGTCCAAGTATGTAGGTACTTTTGAGGCTGAGTCTTCATTGCAATGATTATATAAATTCATTGAAGCAAAATCTGGCACAAAATTTAAAAAAGAAGTAGAATCATAAACAATAATCCCACAAATATAAAAAAAAAACTAAGGTTTGAAGTAGAAGACGTGTGTACAGATACTTAAACAGAGTTTCTTTTAATTTATAATCAGAATTAATTCATTTGCAAATTTACTCTTTAGTCTTTGATGTGGCGACTCCCACATACAAAGAAACAGAAACATACTACAGCGACATCTAACGAAGACACACCGAACTACGGAGTAACTACTGAATGAGAATTGCTTATGTTGTATCGCGATATAAAGAATTCTCTCGCCGATTAGCATATATACAACTTCCCAAAGTCAACCGAATCTGATCGGAGGATCCTCCCTTTGTGTTGAAGGGATATGACACACGTTCCTCCACATTGTATTTTGCAACATGGTAATTTTGTCATGGTAATTTCACGTAGTAGTACGTATAGTATTTGTAAACACAATCTTACGCTGCTAGCCATGCGTAAAGTCACCGTGATTGGAATCGTATAATCGCGAATCGAGTTAAAGGTCATTTTATACTCTGAATACAAATTGTATTGCCTTAAGCGACGATTCAAGAATTTAAAATGAAGCTTTGTTTTCCTGGTACACGGTTTTGAAATAAATTATTTTTCATTTACTAGCATTCTTTGTAAATATCTGTATTTGTTGCTGTTTGTTGAATGAGCATGTTACTTGGTTTGTATTCATTTATCGTTGTTTTAAAAGAAGTATGAAATAGGTACCTAAGTATTTTTGGACGTTGAATGAGGTTTTTCAGGTATTGACACATTATGTGTTTGTAAATTACATTTGAGGTTATCTTTTAAATAAGCGCACTATGGTCATGTAGTCCGTGTAGTGACTGATTAGGAATACGGAATTTTACTACCCAAATTCGTCCCGTGTTTGTCGTAAGAGCCGACTAAGGGCGTAATACAACGCAGAACACCGGCACCTCAAAAAGAAGGAAAACTTGACACAAACCCTATACCAACCCGTCTGGCCAGAGTGGTATAGTAGGCCAAAACCTCCTTTATAAGGAGAGGTCCATGTCCAGCAGTGGACTATTAAAAGCTGTTGATAATGATGGTCATACATATGTAATTGCTATACTCGCAGCTATGCATGAAGAAACAATAATAAGAATCGTTCATGAAAAATTTGATACACCCATTGCGCAAATAATGCACACTATAAAACTACCGTGAGACTGTTTTCTTCACCTAAAATGCGAAATACTAATCATGCTGTTGTTAACTACCAAATACTGACAGAAATCAGCGGATCTTGTATTTCGTGAAACTGTCTGCAATCTGTTGAGAATTGATTAACGATGTTCATGCTATACGGTCAGGTGTAAAGAAGCTTTGCGTAAAAATGTGCAATTTAAAATGCATCAATCGATTTCAAATTGTTATTTTCTTGTAACCATTTTAATGAATGTGTACCACGTTTGTTAAATTACTATGTATGTAGTAATGTGTGTTTAGATACACATAACATCTAATATATAAATATCTCTTGTCACAGTGTTTGTGGTCGCACTCCGCCGAAACGTCTGGATTGATTTTTTTTTTGTATATTTGGTAGGTATGAGAATAGTTCGTAAAGTATTTTTCTCTCCTCTTACCCACATCCTCAAAAATCAAACCACGCAAACGGTTTTTTTTTCTTTTTAAAAGACATCTCTCGCATTAGGAATATATGTATATCCTACGTTGCGGGGATTTTTACAAACATACTTGAAACGGACACAAAGAACACTCATACTTAGAACAACAATTTGGGGGTCACATAAATTGGTGTCCCATGTTTGGATCGAACCCAAAACACTCAGCGCAGTAGGAAGCGGCGTGGCGACCTCTTAAACCACTAAGCCATTCGTGCAGTCATAGTTTGATGCGGTACTCACTATAAGATAGAGACTTTTTCAAAAAAATTGTAATTTCAAATTGCCGAAAAACAAAAGATAAACCTATATGTTTGTTATCTATGGAATTATTAAAAATTAAATGTCATTTCGTTATGGCTCAGATTTTGTATCTTTTGATTTTGTCTATTAGACACACAACTCTAGAATCTTTCATTAATGCATTTTTTATTGCACGCAACACCTGGTATTTGTGTTTTACTTTTATGGTTTTCCAACATAGTACCAAAGTTTGTCACAGATCGCTACTGCTTGCCATCATGGGGAATTTTTTTCCACATCAGTTTTATACATAAATACAGTTGACAAATTCTTAAACCAACACGAATTTATTACGAACACATAGAATACCAATGAGTAATAATCTATTGTATAAATATTCTATTATTCATGTTTTAGTAATAAACCATTCCAATCGTATTACTTCTGAGTCTATAAAATTTTATGAATTCTATTGTTGAATAGCTGGATACGGTAGTCAGTGAATTAATAAATGTAGTAATTGTTAGGTAGGTATATTGTATGACCGCCGAGTACAAAACTATTGTAGGTTATGGCAATAAAAACACGTAACTTGATAACAATTATTTACAATGGGGCATAGCAAAAAATTACAAGATTGGTAATAAAAAATATCATAGTTACCCGTTGTTGCTTATAAAAACGCTATTGGACTTTTCAATAGCCATTTATTTAAAAATAGAATGAATTTTGATCGAGGCTCAATTCAATGGTTGTAAATTTTTTTTAAATCATAAAGTGAAATAAATTTTATAGATCTTTGGTATGTTGTTGTATCACTTTTTTTTAAATATGTCTTGCCGCGTTTCGAGTTTTTAAAACTTTTTATTCCAAATTTAAATCTGAATGATAATTAAGCATATTGCCATATCGAAATATTAAAGAAAATAAGAAGTGTAGGTGTTGGATGATGCCGCAAAACATTATTGATATAAGATTATTTTGGTGCTTATATAGATATAAGAGGAATATCAGTTATTTTACGGACAAATGCTCAACACATATAATTTGTTAGAGTTAGCAAACAAAATTAGACTCTATATACTCGATTTAGTGGTTCAGATTTCTTGAAAAAAATGCCAGGTAGTTGTGGCAAATTTTAAAATTCCACATACCATCCGTAAGCCTTGAGTTGCTAAGTTTTATAATGTTAAAACTAAATTAGCATAGAAAATGTTATAAAATAAAGAAGCCGGACGATCCTACAAGGAAATTTACTTAGTCTAATATTTTCAATATATATTTCAAATTATTACACATATTTTTTGCAGAATATAATATTTGTGAAGTATTTCCTGCTGCGTTTCGAGTCTAGACTTTTGTTTAGATTGATTAAAGTAACATTTAATTTCAGTAAACGTACCTTTCAACGTTTTAGTTTCAATCGATTTAAATTTCATGTTTAATGTTTTTATTGAATGCTCTATCCACGGAATGAGTTTCCTACGACATAGTTTTATAAAATGTAACCCTCAAGGTTGAATAAGGTACATACACAGGCCGAATCGTAAGATTTAATTAATATTTTTATATTTATGAAATTTTCTCATTAATTTTTAACAATATACGGTTTTAATTATATGTGTTTTCGGAGATAACATATAGTTTCAGACACAAACAGGGTCCATTATCAAGGGGTAAAGATACCTGTCTCTTCGGTGTCACGCGCCAAGTTACAACATGAGAAATGTATGAATCAGAAGCAATAAAATATACAACGGAAACCGAGGTCCATTTACATGTGATTAAGTTACTCATTTTTATGTCAATGACCATATCTGAATGTTCGTAATGCCGAAGATGTGCAAATATGACACTATTATAGACACGTGTTCTTACGCAACATTGCCTGGATTAATGTTCCAAGTTACGTCAATTTAAGATTAAACAATGTCTCAAAAGACAGCATTTGAAACAGAAAAATTAATATATTTTGATTGAAAACCTCAACGTTATATTTTATTAAAGATTTACTTTGTGACCTTGTGAGTTTCTAAAAAAAATTGGATACAAAATTGGTATTAAAAATAGCAATTGTTTTACGGAATACATACGCAAGGAAAACCTTATATGTTAATTAAATATGAATATTACTCCTTACAGTTTTTACTGACTTCCCATTACGTTATAATTTTTCTCAAAAAATTCATTTACATAGTTTCCAATAAAGCTAAAAAACCGTTTTAAATAATAAAAATATTTAGAATTTAAAATACTTATTTTTAATTGCGCTGATTTCACTTAGTTTTTGCAGTGTTTAAATATTACATTTTTATTAAACGTTTTAAGTAGAAATAAGATAGATATTCTTCTGTTTGAATAATACAACATACTAATCTGCTCTTTCTTTTCACTTTATAAATAATTCATATGTAAAAACGAGATAAAAATGAAAATG